TTAAGAAACAAAAGACTACAATTAAATTTAAATTTACTTAAATACCACTTTAACTTTAAATAGATGTCAATGAAAATTTGCAGAAAGTAGAACAATTGTTCAATAGCATTTGAAGGACAATTTAAGTGTAATTTAACATTGATGGTAGAAAAGAAAAGTTTTAATCTCACATGAAAATCTTTATTCGGCCTTTAGATATTTTCCAAGTTGAGGCGCAATTTCCGTTTGTCTCACTCATCAAACTTTTAATGCACTCGGTGCCCGAATATCAACAAAATATTGTGCAAAATAAATAAAATGCCAGCCAAATATTAAAAGCACACAATCGTATGTGGCCATAATGTTGAAGCCAAAAAGCATATTTTCTTGTCTGCCCACAGAACAAACATGAATTTGGCATAAGCATTTCTGTTTACCCAGTGGAAAAATGTATATAAAGTAGAGTCGATTGTTAAATGAAATAAATATATACAAAAATTAAATTTTGAAATTAAATGAACTTAGATTTTAAATTCTTTTTGAAATTATTACCCTTTTCGATTAATTTATAGATCTTCCTAGGGTATTACCAATTCGAAACCCTATTTAAACCCATTTCCTTTACTTACTCATTAGCTTTCCAGTCATGAAGCTTTTTCCTGCGGTCTTTTCTATCGTGGGACTTTTGTCATTATTTTCATTCGTATGCCAACCGCAAAATAATATGAAAAGCATATATAAATCGATGATGTATGTGCAGTAAACATTGGAAATTAAGCACACATACGAGTGCCTCACTCGGTCATGTAATGATTAATTGGACAATTTTGGTATATAGTGCATTATTTTCGTCTATTTTGCTGGCTTTGTTGTGTTTTTGGCTTCGCAAAAACAGAACTGCCAATGCTTTCGTGCACAACTTATCTAAAAATAATCATAAGAACTTGAGCCAAAAACGAAAAGTGTTTTAGAGGCTTATTTAGCGGCCGAAATGAAAAAAATAGATAGGCAAAATAAATGGAAATGCGCCAAGCGACGGTACTACGACCTTGAAATGTGCGTTTGCTCGGAGGAATTAAGAACAATATCCCATCGTGTAATGGCTGAAATAAAAAATCTCTGCCATAAATCCCTTGATGTACGTCTTTCATCACCGCCGACTTCTTGGGCAGTTTGAAGCGATCTGCTCATCATAGAGTCGTTTTCCCCTATATCTCTTCCTGATTGACATTCTGCAGAAATCGATCGTGCGTCTATATATACGCCTATATTCGTATCCGCAGTGCGAATGGCCTGAAAAGTTCTTCCGCTGGCCTTATTACCCCTTATAGTTCTCATATCCACTGTTTATCGGGAGTTGTTTATAGCGACCCCAGCTGCTGGTCTTATTTTTTAACCAAACAAATTGAATGGCACAAAGCATAATTTAGTGCAAATAATGTTTACAGTTTGTGTCATTAAGGGTCTGTGAGAAATGGAAATGAATTGAATGGCGTGCGCTCATCTGTTGTTTTCAATTTCATTTAGAGCAAGTGTAAATTTCGGTTCTACGAATGCTGATGGTTCTTCCGGCTTGTAAAAAGTGTAATTAAAAGAATTAAAACGACAAATGATTAATAACAAAGTAGAAACATTTAAAGTTAAAAAGGTCACTGAAAATATTTATAATCGTATTTATATATTTCTTTGAATCTATTGATGTAAATATGTAATCAAAGTAAAAAATATTTTTAAAATTCTTTGTTTCCCATTCTTAATTTGTGTTTATAAATTGAAAAAAGGTACCAATAATAGCTTTTAACTGCTAGAATCCTTAAAATTTTTCATGCTTTTTACATAAATGATTCGCCTGCATACTTGAGATATTTTTTTATAACCTATTTAGCTCAAATATGTCGAGTAATTCGCACAAATTCGCTGCTAGGCACTTGACTATCGCCCACTGAAAGTGCTTCTGCCTCGTTGCTAAAAACAATTTGTTGTTAAATTGCAATTAAAGCAATGCTATCCCCTGGCAACCCTTTGCCTGTGAAAACTCGGTGTCCAAAGCGAAATAAAGCAGACACAAAGTTACATACGCTTAATTTTCAAGTCGAGGCGAGTCGAGTGAAGTAAAGTGATTTTGGTTTCGGATTTTGTTTTTTTCGCGTCTCCTAAACGCAGCTAATTGAAATGCCAGTTTGCCAGTTTCGACTGGCTGTTGTTGTTCGTTTTAATTACGCGCATTTTCATTGGACATGTTTTTGTGGGTCGCCATGGGTTAAGACAGGTTGCTGTTTGAGTTTTCCAAAATCCCCAGTCCGCAAAAAAGGCAAGAGCAACACGAGACGGCCAGCTGCCTAATGCCAAATAAGATATTTTGGAATTTCAATTATTTTCCATCGCCCAGTGCAGGTACGTCCGTCCAGCGTCCAGCGTCCCACTGTCCAGCGTTCAGTGTCACACACTCAGTGTGCCCACTGTGCACAGCATTCGCATTCGCATTCAGCACTCACATTTGCCTCGAAAACCTCGACACATGTCGGGTTTCAGCGAACCCAAGCCGAAATCCCAGCCCAAACCGTCATTATGAGCTCGGCTGACCGAATGCGAACCCTGGTTGATGTTGATTGATCTTGTATGGGGGAGAGTTGTTGTTTTCCACCTGGTGGATGTGGATGTAAATGCTGCACAAGGTGCAAATAGTGATGCCAGTGAAAAGCAGCATAGACTTTCTATTGGTTTTTACAGGCAATGTGTGTAATTTACTTATTTGAGATAGACATTTTCCAAAAAGACGTTTGTTTGTTGTCCAAAAAGTTTAATTTGTTTGACCCAAAAGACCAGCTGCAGAATTAAATATATTATGGAGAAAATCTCCTTCAAATAAAAAATCAAGAGATACACAACCAATACAAAACTATTTAAACAAAAATACCAATCATTCACCAAAACGGTCGGCAATATTTGGGAAAATCCACGTGCCCATGACAACTGAGAGAAAAATATTTCTGAATGAAATCACCCGCTGCTGAGTTTTTCCGGGCCCATAAAAATCCAAGTGCAAGATGGGCTGGGAAATGGGATCGGGAATGGGAATGCAAGGATTTCGGTCATATAACTACTGAGGTGGTCGGTTTCTCAGCCATAAAATCGACCCATCGCCATAAGGGGTCTTTCGCTCACTCACGCGGGAGATCTGTCGTCGAACTTGTTGCGATTCTCCAGGGACAAAACAGGGCCGTGAGAATATTCTGGCTGAAATCGGGGGGAAATCCGCAACAGGAACTGACATTGGTATAGGGAACTGGCCAATTTTCTTGGCCTTGCCATTAATTGGTCGTAGCTAATGTCACTTAATCGCCTAATTGCCATGAGAAATGTCCCCTCGAAAGTCGTGTGCCAGACTTGTTTGAGTCGTGTGTCATTGAGATATTTCCAAGTCGAGAAAAAGAAGGACGATGGCGATCAGGTGTGGCTGAAGGTCTGTCATTAATAATTATTAAATATGTTCTTGGAACATCGAGCTCCGGGGAAAAGCCAAAGAAATAGCTCAGCTTGGCAAACAAAATGTCAAAATAATGTTTATTCGAAATGTTGAAAGCCACCCGGTTTATAGTAATTTATGCTTTGATTTGTTAAACACTAATACATTTCATGCGAATCGGGTTTCGTTTGCTTTACAGTTTCAGTGGCCAGCGCATTCGCAAATTATTGCACAATCGTTTAAAGCGGCTAAAATCGAACGTTAACATTTAAGCCACTTTGCAACGGCTGTCTTTGGCTAATTTGTTGATTATTTTACAGCATTGATTAATTTCCTGAAACAGCAGGTTTTATTTTATTGAGAAGGAGAGAAAATTAACTAATAACATATTTTATAAATTTTAATTATTAAATACACAGAAAAGCAATTGATAAAAGATTTTACTATACTTTAAAACAGTATTTTTATAACTTTTTTGAAATGATAAATTATCAAGTTAAATTTGATATTAATCACATAGGCTTTTTATTGATATGAAAAAAGGTATGAAAATGTATGATATGACCAATCTTTTTCTATCCTTTGCCTTGCATTTTTCTTTCCGATATTATGATATCCAAATTCACTGCAGCCGCAGCCTCGATGACTTGGTAATTCACTTTCGATAGTTAAACAAACATCCCGGGGTAATGATCTTGATGACAACTCCGGAAGGCAACTTACAAATTTCGCTCATTCGATACGGCAAACTTGTGCAAACATATTGACAACTTTGTATGCGGGGCTATAAATTTATGCGGTAACATAAAACCGTCAACCGTTGATTATGGACACACATCGGATACATTGGTAAAGCCATGGGTTTGCTTTGGTTTGGGCCACAGCCACAGGCTTGTAAGGAAATCGGGCTGAGTTATGTATGGGCAGGCACACACGATCGATGGATCGATCATAGCGGTTACTGAACTCCCTCCCCTGTACATAGAGATATCATAAATATATCTCAAGGCTTGTCAAGGCCAATTTGCTGGCTAAAAAATTGGCCACGCATCCTCTCTCTAATTGACAGCCCCCCGATGAGAGGAGCGATCCGGTAATTGATGATGATGGTTTAGCCTCCAAAACCAAGGCGACGGTGGGCGTGGCCCGACTCGCACCTATATACGTTTATTTAGAGTGCCGACTGCTTTCCCTTTTGTCAATGGAATTATGCAAAAAGAAAATCTACTGCCATTGCGGTTTCTTTTCTCGGCTATATCTTCTTTTTGCGGCCACTAAGCAATTACTCATGTAATTTTTTTTTTTGCCCGGGAGAAGAGTGGATCCACCGGTGGGTGAATCACGGTTAGCTCATCATCGTTAGCTCATCTTCAACGACGACGGGTAGATTTTCATCTGCCAGTTGATGAGCAAAGACTTTCGCTGGTCGAGGGTTGCGTAAGCCAAGGGATTTGTTTTTTCGGGTTACAATTTGATAATAAATAGTACTTTCGATTGTTGGCACATCTTATATATAATATTTTCTAATTTTCCCCCTTTCTTTTTATCCTTGCAGAATCCCTTCGTTCTGGTGTGGATCAAACTGAACTCCAGGAGCTAAACAATGGCCAATCCGCGAGCGGATGTCCAACTCCGCCGATGGCGCGTGACTCGAAACGCTCGTCGATTGGTAATGAGTTGCCCTGTGAGACGGAGGCCAAGTTGAAGAGGTGCGAGGACCAGAGCGGTATTATCCCCCAGCAGGAGCCAAATCAATGCCAGGCTGAATCCCCTCTTCCGCCGATAAAAGCACTTGAACCGGAGGTAAATAAGGGTTTTTTGAGAAAAATAAAAATAAATATAAAATTAAGTAAAACAATTAAGGAGAGAAAAAAAAAAAAAACATTTTTATACTATTTTATTTGCTTTTATCAGGGACCGTAAATAACAGTTATTTGAGACTTTTATTTTAAGAGGCCTACTGAGATTTGTATCATTAATTTTAATGGTTTTTATGCACTTTATAGACATGGACAAATAACAGTTAAATTGCTTTCCAGATTTGTTGAAATGCATATGCTTTGTGGACAAGAGTAAAAAGAGTGTTATTTTTGACGTTTAAAACAAAATATCACAGCAGTCTTTTTACAATAAAAGTCTCAAATGACTGTTATTTACGGTCCCTGGTTTTTATAAAAATGTAAAAAAAAAACACTTTAAAAAAAAGAAAACACTCTCAAAAAAGAAATCAATTTAAAACGAAATCAATTTAAAAAGTATGAACAAATAATTATGTAAATGTAAACTCCATAGTTATATCAGTAACAACTTATTTATATATTTTCTAACTCTTTTTTTTATAACCCCTTTTTATTTTTAAAAATCCAGCCCAGCTCCTTGTCCTTGCCCGATGAAGTGGGAACGTCGATCAGCTCGATGACGATGCTGCCCACGCCCCGCGAGGACATAGTCGCCCAATATCCCGCCCTGCAGCCCTTCGCGGAGAACGGAGTGCTGAACTGCGCCCGTCTGGCCAAGTTCTTCGAGGACAACCAGTTCGAGCGGCGGGAGGAGCACCGCCAGATCCTGGGCCTCGCCGTGATGGTGCAGTTCATGTCCCAAGAGGTGAGTTCAGAAAAGGGAGTCTAGGGATCAGGGATCAGCGAGGGTGAGGGATTTGCTGGCGAAAACAGGCGCCAGGGATTTATAAACCCGCTGCTGACAGCCCTTTGAAGGCAAATCGAAAAGATAGAGAGATACCTTTCCCTGTCCTTTGTAATTGCCACATGTTCAGGATCGGGATCACCTGCTCTAATAATTCCCGAATTGTTTCACATGTGCCTGGGCATTGTTTGAGAAATTTGCCTTAATCTATGCTTAAAGTTGAGCTAATTTCGTTTAATTGTGTCAGTGCAGGCTAAGCCTCAACCCCCGAAAACTGAGCCCCGGATATGGGTGCACTTTTTGTGTTTGCACTAATTAAAAACTATACCGAAAATTCCGAACAAAAGTTGGGAAAAATCCGCAGTCCCAAAATCGAACCCAAACCCTTGCTGCCGTGAAAGCCTTTCTTTGGGCGGGGAAATGAAAAATGAAAGGGTGTGAGGCGATGGCACATTCAAGTTGGTCTGCGAAACCAGCTATTCAATTAATTGTTTGCCATTTTCCGGTGTAAAGGCTTCTGATGAAACAAAACGAAAATTCGCGGGTGCAAGTGTGAGTTTTAGCAAGATTTCCGCCTGAAAAGAATGTTAAAGGATGCTAAAGGATCGGGGAGGGAGAACTTAAAAAATGTACCTGCTATAAGGCAGGCAGGCCTCCGCACTTAAATAACAATAACAAGGCCATAAAAATCCGCGGCAAATGCGAAAAACATTATTTTAACATTTGCATATGGAGGACTGCGAACATCATAAATCGATTTATGATGATGTTTGTCTGCTGACTTCTCAACCACAATTGCTTTAGGTAGAATTTGCACATTTCTCGACTCTGATTTGTCTGAACTTGCTGGCACATTTTGAGCAGCCACATTTCCCCCAAAAATGTTGACAATTGCGTAAATCCATTGTCTTCGGGGCAGCACATGCACAATGCTGTCAGGATAATGGAAACAACTGCTTCTGCTGGAAAATCAAACGATTTTAGCCGGTCTTAAGTCCTGGGTGTTATGTGCTATGTATGCAAGCTGAATGTGACACAATCCACAAATGAAAAGATAATTCCTTGGGCCATCAGCTGGTGCCATTCATTGTATTGATGTCATTTGCGTTGGCCATTTGCAAGCGATTCTTTTCTTGTTTCCTTTTTTTGAAAGGAAAGTCATTAATGTGGAGAAAAATTCCGGAATCCCTTAAGCTGTTGTCGGAATTTTTGCTCGCTGAGCTGGGGGAATTTGCAGGAAGTGAAAGAAAGAACTCAAATTGTTTAATTCGCCAGCTGGGGATTTCCTAAAGGTGAAAAAAAGTGTAAGAAAAAACCCTTAAATAAATTCTTTATTTAAGTTAAAGAGCTTATAATTTTCCATAATTTTTTCAACACCTTTTTTTGGGTTTTCCTACTTTTTTCTTTCCTTTCAACATGTCTCAGCGCCTTTTGATTATTTTTCTTTCCTAATTATAAAAAACAAACCCATGGAATTAAAATATTTTCCCAAGAACTATTGGCGCTTGCACATGTTCGAATGCAAATTCCATATTTATCTAGGGTTTTTGGTATTTGTTCTAGGCACGTTTCGAAAAAACAAACCCAGTGTTATTAGGGGGAATTACGGGAGAGAGTATACCACAATATTTGGCTAACTTGTTGGAACGCGGCTACCGGTGAGGCCGCAAATGCAAACATGCGGAGGATTTGTTTTGCTTTGCCTGGGTTTTTGGCTATTTCCCGCGAACGAGGCAATCGCGCAATATTTTCCCACTAAAAGCCTAAACTGATGTTGCAACATAAATATTTATTTAAATATGATCCAGCGAGATTTCACAGTCGGGTGTGAAAACCGAGGAAGAGCAAGGTAGCCGAAGGACATCGTTTTGGAAAAAGGACGACCAGGCTCGTGTCCATTTTTATTAGGTTTTCACATTTTACAGCGCGTTATTAAATGTGAAGGACAATTGCCGCTACAGTTGCATCCTAGATTGCTGGCTGAAAAAAGGATTAAATTCCAGTCGAGCCAGTTTCACGGCGGCGAGTCACTAATTTCAAAACTTTAATTTCGAACGCGTCCTTGTCAGGTAAATGTCGCTGTCTTCGGCCGCTCATTTCGTCCACTGACTGCCCACTTTGACTGTCACCCATCGGGAAATCAAGGTATCGCGACATCGAGACACCGAGATTGTCACTGGGAGACAGAGATTTCGACTGAGACTGCGACAGAGACTTCGGCGGAGACAGCGACATGATGGCTATTAATTTGCTGGACAGGATCGACGGCGACATCAGGCGTGTGGATAAGGCAATTTGCAATTCGGTCGGCAAACTCTTAATTTGGGGATCGGATTTGGTCAGGCGGCGACTGTCGACGGCTGGAAGTTTTTAGACAATTTAAAACCAGTTAAATAATAATTGGGAAATCATGAACCTTTGCTTTTGAGCTGAAGTCAAGCTTCGAAAATAAATTTATAAAATTATATTGGATTATTTAGGTAGTTTTCTGTCTAAATGGTTAGGTAATTTAAAGAACATTTAATTTTCTTTTTGATTAACAGCCATTTAAATTCTATAAATTCGAATTAAAGGTTTTTCTGGCAATTTATTTTTAAATGAAGTTGAAACCAATCTCCTATGCAAATTGCAATTTGCAATAGCCAGATCGAAATTAAGACAGCCACTTGAAAATCCTTAAGAGCCCTTGAGGCGCTCGTTACTTCGACACGCATCCACCCAAAGTGTTGCAGAGAAGGTGCGCGCCATTACGGCGGAATTGAAGTGCCTTCAGGGGCCGCCCCAAAAACGTAAAATTGTTTTCCGCTTCCTCAGCTGGCGGACGCGTGACCAATGCTCCGAAGAAGGGTTGATGGCTGATCCGAAAACCACATGAAGTTGGCCGGCGATCGCTAAGCTGGAGTGGGTGGATCCGATCCGGTCGTGGAAATCTCTGGCCAGCCAGGGGGCGTTCACCCACCAGAGGGACACACCCACAATTGCATGGTTCCGTTTTTTTTCCACCGCGTGCTGGAGCAAAAATCCCAAACCCTTCGTCGCCTTTCACCCTTTGCTCAGCATGTTTTTAGAATCGCATTTTTACTTCACTGTCTGTTTTCGAGGCAGATTGAAATCCCTCGTAAATATTTGGCTATCCATATCCGGGGATATTCGTTTGATCCCTCTTCCCGCTACCTGCGGAAGTCCTCCCTCCTACCTGCTGATGAACTATAAAAGCAGATGGAAGGCCTAAGATGGCCATCAGTCTACTTCAAGTATTCGTGTTCAACACACAGCACCACTGCGCTTAGAAATATTACTAAAATGTTTGAGAATTTGGTGTTCGAGACCAACGAGAATCTGTCGGCACAGACGATGGATCTGGACATCGATCTGATCAGTTGGACGGTGCCCAGCACTCCCAACAATACTAATTTTATGGATACCTTCAACTTTGCCCAGGGCTTCGAGCAGCAACAGGTATGCTTTGCAAATAGCTGAGAAATAGTGGTGCATTTTTAGAAAAATTCCGAAGGAGTTTGAAACTAAAATATAGAATTAATTTGTTGGTTTATATCATAACAAAATGCAGTGAAAATATATCAAACGAATATAAAACTTTAAAAAATATAAGAATCTTTAAAAAGCCTTTAAAACGCAATAATTCCCAGAGGAAATAAATAAAAAAATGTTATCAATTTGATGTGCGGGATTTTCCCGACGACCTTTGTGAAACCTTTAAAACGCAGAAATTCCCAGAGGAAATAAATATACAAATTTTAGCAATTTATTGTGTGGGATATAAAATATAGAAATAATTTGTTGGTTTATAACATATATCAAAATTCAGAAAAATCTATCAAACGAATATAAAACTTTTAAAAAATATAAGAATCTTTAAGAAACCTTTAAAACGCAGTAATTCCCAGAGGAAATAAATATAAAAATTTTACCAATTTATTGTGTGGGAATTTCCCGACGACCTTTGACCATGATACGAGCCTATGAACCTCTCGAACGAGACCCTCGAAAACCATTGTCTGCCCGCGGAAATTCCCTGGCTCAGAGACATTGTCTCCGCGACATTGGCACTCGAACCATTTTTGCCTTTGTGCGACTTCCGTGCAAAACTCTTGAAATCGAGATGAAAATTTCATTTTAATTACCCGAACCCAAAATCAAAGAAGCTACCTGCCGTAGTTTATTGCTGGATTTATAGCGACTCGACTCTAACCGTGATTGTTTGTTTCTTTTTGGGGGATTACAGCTGGATGCGTTTGCCTGCCAGGAGACCAAAGAACAATGTGCCAGGACCAAGGGAACGCTGGAGGAGACGCTTCTGCTGCTGCAGGAGAAGCAGAGGGATTGCGAGCAGCTGCGCGAGGAGATGCTCGCCAAGGATGTGGAGTGGGCGCAAAGGCAGCAGGAAAGGGATCATCTGCATCGCAGTGAACTGAAGCAAGGTGAGGTTTACTAGACTCCCTCTCAGCATCTGATAAAGATAGCTAATTTTATATTTTTTCCCCTTTTTATCCCCCAGCTGAGGAGAAAGTACTGGAGGTGCAAATGCTTGCGAAGCAAAGGTTCTGCGATCTGGAGTCCCAGCTGCGGGCCAAGGACGAGGAGAGCAAGCAGGCGCAGCAGGCCTATCACACAGAGGTCTCCCACAAACTGAGCCTCAAGCAGGACCAGCTGAGCACCGCGGAGCTGAAGATCCTGGAGCTGCAGACCCGCCTGCAGAAGCTGGAGGCCCAGGAGCAGGAGAACCGCGAGAAGCTGATCCGCAAGGAGAACACCCATGCCGCCCGCCTCGCGGAGGCCAATCAGCGGGAGCAGGAGCTTAACGATCGGGTCAGGAGCCTCACCAAGGAGCTGACCACCCTCAAAGCCAACAAGGAGCACAGCGAGCGCGATCTGAGGGATCGCCTGACGCTCTCCCAGGACGAGATCTCCGTGCTGCGCACATCCTCGCAGCGCCGGAGTCCCTGCATCAGTCTGCCGGACACCGCCGCCGCCGAACTCAACCGTTTGACCAGCGAAGCCGAGAGCCTGCGCTGCGTCCTGGAGCTCAAGCAGGCGGAGATCTCGAGCCTCAGCAAGGCCAAGTCGGATCTCGTGCGCGAGAGCGAGGAGCGCCTGAAGCTGGGCAACCGCGTGGCCCTGCTGGAGGCCCAGAACGAGATGTTGCGCACCGAACTGGAGGCCAAGACCGAAAAGGAGAAGTGAGTACTGCTTGTTATACACTAGCCGAGTCGATCTAGCCATGTCCGTTTGTCTGTTCGTTCGCCTGAACGCTGAGATCTCGGAAACTACAAAAGCTAGTAGGTTGAGATTACCCACACATATTCTTGGGCTGCCTACGCAGCGCAAGCTTATTTCAGCCCAGCGCCTCGCCCCCTCTAATGATAAAATGTGTCTGGCGCCCACACCTTTAAAGATTTCCGAGAAGTGCAAATGCAATTTTGTTGTGTATATTTATACCTTTCGAAATGTAGAAGACATTTTTTAAATCGGACCATTCATTTAAAAGTTATGCGCAATCAAAATGTTATATATCCAACTCCCTTGCACTCCCTTTAGCTGAGTGACGGGTATTAGATATTTGAGATTTACTTATACAACCTGAAACTAACCCTTACCTCATCTCCTCCAGGGACATCCAACAGAAGATGGAGGAACTCCAGAAGGCCTACAAGTACGAGAGCATCAAGCGCACGCGGCTCACCTTCGACAAGGAGGAGCTGCAGTACCACCTCAAGCAGCGATCCGTGCAGCTGCAGGCCGCCGAGGCCAAGTTGCTGGACCGTTCCACCAGTTCCGCGCACGAGAACAGCCGCTGCAGCCTGGGACGCAGTGGCCTGGAGATTGCCGTGACCACCTCCTCGCCCACCTCGCCGGTGATGAAGGGCATGATCGAGCGCAACGATTCCGTCAGCTGGACGCTGGAGATCGACGATGAGTCGTCGTTCAAGGGCAACTCCTCCAAGATTGTGCGCCGAGCGGGCTCCTTGCGGAGCAGCCACGAGCGGTGTCCCATCCAGCGACGTCAGACCTCCCATGGCCACTCCACCAATGGGCTGGCCACCAACGGAGGAGGAGGAGGCTCCTCTTCACCCGCTCATCCCAATCCCCTCAGCCAGAGCATGTCGGCCACCGCCCTGCTAAGGAGCAGTAGTAACTCCGCGGATCCAGAGAATCGTCCTCTGTCCCGGGCTCGCTCCCATTCGGTTTGCATCAAGGCCTCGGCCTCCAGCTCGGCTGTTTGCGAATCCTCTGGCCCGAGGGCGAGGCAACAGCAGCAGGAGGATTTGAACCTGGCCGACTGGCAGGAGGACTCGATTCCCCTGTGCTCCAGCTCACCGCAGGCACCGCAGGCCGAGATGCGTCCACGCAGCTCCACCATGAAGCTAATGTCCAGCGAGGCCAAGAAGTTCCAGGAGATCCAGGAGTCCGCCGGCGAGGCCATGGTCTCCGGGGCCAATTCCGAGGACGAGAGCTGCTCGGCCTCGTCCGAGGACATGATGCGCAGCTCCTCCGCCTCCAGCACAGCCTCGGGAGGATCCCTGTTCAAGCGGCCCAAGCAGCCGCCATCCCGCATGTCCATCGAGGAGGCGCTGCCCTGCACGCCCATGGAGGTCAGCTGGTCGGAGGACGCCGCCGATGCCAGCGGACTGGCATGACATGCTGCCTACGAGGAGCAGATCGACCAGATCGACCAGATCGATCAGATCGCCGAGGCGGCCGAAGAGGCTTACGAGAGCGAGGACATTGAGGAGGATCAGGATGAGCTGATCGTGGGCGAGGAGCAGCCGGAGCACAGCGACAGCGACGATAGCTTTTAGGCCTCCAAACTTCAGAGGAGGAGAAACAATTTGTAAAACAAAGTAATAAGTAATAATAAGTCGGCTCTTGCGACTGCTAGCAGATTGAAGTAATAGTCACTCCAAGCATAGCTTGGCGTTTTCAATTCTATATAGACGCCGTGCAGATGGAATAATGAAGCGATACACAAAAATATATAATGATGATTCGTACGTTCTTAACTGAAAATGTTTGTGTAAATAATTGCATTTAGCAGTATGGTAGCTCATAGAAGGCGCTCATATAACATAACAATATGATAATCTAACAATTAGTCGAGCACAGCAAGCGGAGCCGTCACAGCAACTTGGGGGGAATTGAAAAAAGTTTGTAAACGAGGAAGTACATTTTTTAAAAGGGCGCTGAGGGATTTCAAAGTCGAAGCCACACACAAAGCTAAACCAAGTTTAGAGCGTATAAAGCTACGTATTTAAAACAGTTTCAAACTAAACAGAAAACAGTAATGGGTAGCATTTAGATGAAGCAGTATGAATATTTGCATAAAACCAACTTATTACTATACCACACAATCTATTAGTATTTGTATGATTAGCGATATTGATATTGTATTCTAACCGCAACTCGCAATCGCTGATATCGTACATGTTACTCGATCCCCAGATACCCAGATACTAAACTCCCTTGAGCTCAAACCAACCACTCACTCGATGTCCTTAATTGAAAACTTAATGCCCGCTATATATTATAATGTACCAATTAGAATGCCGAAGGTCCGAAGCTGCATCGCCGACCTAGCTAAGCTTTAATTTTGTGTTTTATATATACATGTATTTATTATTTAGTCTTTAATGCCTTGTGAAAGCGTTAAAAAAATGCAAGAAATTGAAATCAATTAGTTTATAACGAATGAGTTCTATATTAGTTCTAGCCTAACTACATTAGTTTACGTTACGTTTTTATTTTGTTATCATTGGAATGTGTCCGAAATATGCGAGTTTTATATGTATAGGTTCAGGATACGCTAACTTTGTAACACGCAGCATTGTCATTAACTTTTAAGTATGTTATTTTTATTATGTGTGAGATAAAAGAAGTAAGAAAATTAATAACCTGTAAGAGACGGTGCGGAAACCATCGGAAAATAAGTTGCAAAGGAGGAAATAAGTAAAAAGGTACAGTTAAAAATCCCTATAAATATTTTTTGCTAAATAATTTCAAAAAACCTTAAATAAATAAGTAATTGTTTCAAACATGCTTAAAGTTTGTTTTTACTTGGGGTATTGGGAATCGAAAAAGGCGTTCTTTACTCAAAATAAAAACACATTTTTTTTTTATTTTTAGTATGGTGTAATTTTAATATCCACAATATTCATGAGTGATCATTTTTGGGCGATTATTTTATACATCAAGAGAGATAACAAATTTTGTAGTTTCTTTTCTTGGGTTAGTTCGAGGAATGAAATTCATTACATGCGCGACTACAAACTGTAGGCTTACAACTAGGCAATAAAACTAGAATATGCGACATATATTATAGGTAGAGCATAAAAGATATATTTGGTAAGTTGGGACGTCTAATGCCGTCTAGCTCTCAAGGAATGTCGGGTACGGTGCACAAAGCGTTAGGTTGGGTCTCTCATTTGGCATCCTTTCAACTGCCCGGAATCGCAGCGACCATAGACTAAATTTTGGACCAAAGTCTACGGCCCTGCAAGACAGCAGTTAGGCAGATGCCATCCGATCCACTGAAATCTGTGCGTAACTGGGATGGGGCGCGCTATTCCTTGCAGCCTAACAACGTAAATTCATTCACTAAGTATGCTAACTAGGTGTCGATGTGTTCCGAGTATTGGATGTGTGTGACGGTGAGTGGGTGATGATCGTGTGGATCGTTGTGCTGGGCCACATCCACGACTCTTATGCTAATCCTCCGCCTAGCCTAGTTGAACAGACGCTTCAGTATGCTCTGGATGGTCTTCAAGGACTGATCCTCGATGAGGAAGGTGCGGTGGTTGCCGACAACGGTGTGAACCTCAACGGGCTTTGTGCAGACCTGCGAATAATAATAAATATTTAGTATTTATTTTCTGTTTCTTAGTTGTGTGCAAACTCACCTCCTTGAGGCGGTAGTCCTCGTCCAGCTTGGCAGAGTTGTCTGTGGGCTTCACCAGGGTCACGCTCGTCTTGAGCTTCAGCGAGGGTACATAGCCATCGGCCAGCTCCAGTTTCTTGTAGAACAGAGTGGCGGATTTCTTGATCTGCAATACAAAATCAATTAGTAAGTTTCAGCTTATCTTTGTTAAAGTATTGATGCTCTTACCGTTTCTGCGGGCTGGGTGATCTCATTGCTTATCAGCTCAGCGAACCTCTCGAGCTTCTCCTCCCAAGTGGGGATCACCAGTAGCAGTCGCACCAGCTGTTTATAATAAAATGCAGAATTTTAGATTCTATTACATCACCATAGATGGGTATTCCCTTGACTTACCGCCTTGTAGTCAATGTTGGCCAGCACGATGCCAAAGTAGGCCAGACCGTAGCTCTGGTTGTCGTTGTCCCGATTGCTGCCGTCCGTGTAGCGCTGCTTGAAGCTGCTCGTGTACCAGTTGACGTAGGTGGGGGCTCCGTCCAGCATGATCACGTTGGCCACCTCGTTGGTCTCCTCCAGAATTCCAGCCATCACGTAGGTGAGCAGGCAGCCGAACGAGTAGCCGGCTAGTTTGTACGGACCCTTTGGCTGGACGGTGCGCAGCTGCTTGATGAAGAACTTGGCAGCCGATTCCACGGAATCGTAGGGCACATCTTCCGTGAACTGCAGTCCATAGGCGGGCACCTCCAGTCGCTTGGCCAGCGGCTCCAAGGCGGAGGCGAAGCCCTCGATGGGCGAGATAAAGAAGATGGGGCTCTGTTTGGTATTCTCCGGCGCCTTCGTCTCCAGCTGCACAATCGCCTTGGTGGGAATGAGGGCCGTGGTGAACACCACCTGGGTGCCATCGCCCATCGGACTGGCCGTGCGCGAAGATCCTCCCGAGCTGATGGCCGTGTCTGTGCCACTGGCTGCTGCAGCGGCAGCAGGAGCAGCTGCGGCTGGCTTGACCTCAGCTCCGCCATCCATGGCCTTGAGGGCTCCGAAGGTCAGCTGGCGGATCTCCTGGGCGGACAGAACAATGTCAAAGTTTCGCTCCAACGTCTGCTTGATCTCCGCGCTCATCAGCGAATCCATGCCGAGGTCAGCAAGCGATGCTCCGTCCTGGATGTTCTTCGTGTCCCGCAGACCCAGGATATTCGCAATGGTGGCAATCAGGCTGACGCCAGCCGACTGGTCGGACTTGCGCTTCTCGGCCACCACCATGGAGGCGACGACGGGATGGGGCTGCTGCAGGAACAGGTCGATGGTCTGCAGGCACGAGGGCATCCTCTGCGGCAGGGTTCCTCCAATCACGGTGTCGTTGTCGCCGAGATTCTCCAGCACCAGACCCGTATCGCCGATGGCTCCCCACTGGATGGCGGTGCCCGGGAAGCCGCTCACCTGGCGCTGCTCGCAAATCCTCTCCATCGCCGAGTTGGCCAAACCGTAGTTGGTCTGACCAATGTTGCCGCGACCGCAGGAAACACTCGAGAAGCAGATGAAGTAGTCCAGCTCCGTGCAGATGGAGCGTGAGTACTGATCCAGGTACTTGGTGGCCGTCACCTTGGGATCGGCCACCGTCTTGAAGTCCTTGGCCGTCTGATCCTCGATCAGGGCATCGCGCAGCACGGCGGCCAGATTGAAGATGCCTCCCACCAGGGCCAGTTTGTTGCTGTTTTCCAGCAGCTTCTTGGCTCCGGCGGCGGTGGTCACATCACTGGTGTCGATCACCACCTTGACGCCACGTTCCTGCCAGCGGCGGATCATCAGACCCTGGTAGCCGGTCTTCACTCCCGAACGCGAGGTCAGCACAATGTAGCGGGCTCCTCGGGTGACCAGCCAGTTGGTCAGCTCCAGGCCGAATCCGCCCAGTCCTCCCACCAGAATGTAGCTCTTCTCCGGGTGCATGTAGGTGCGCGGAATGGCGTTGATGAGGCGCGCCTTGGGCTGCAGCGCCTTCTTGCCCGCCTCCTCGTCGCGCACCTTGATCACCACCTTGCCGATGTGCTTGCCGGAGGCCATGAATCGGAAGGCCTGCTCCACCTGCTGGTCGTTGAACACGGACGTGGGCAGCGGCACCACGGCGCCGCTCTTGATGCCCTCGGCCACCAGGGAGACCACCTGGTTCTGCATCTCCTCCTCGCCCTCCATCACGCTGTCCAGCAGGATGCCGTGGAAGGAGGTGTTCTTGAGGAACACCGACATGCCCAGTGGGCTGTTGTTGCTCAAATCGAACTTGCCAATCTCCAGGAAGCGGCCATTCAAGCCCAGGCAGCGGATGGAGGCCTGCAGCTTCTCCTCGGACAGCGAGTTGAGCACCAGGTCCACGCCGCGTCCCTTGGTCTCGCGCAGCACCAGCTGCTCGAAGGAAGTGTCGCGGGAGTTGCCGATGTTGCGCTCCTGCAGCTTGGGGAATCGCTTCAGCAGGAACTCGCGCTTCTCCTTGCTGCCCACGGTGGTGAAGACGGTGAGTCCATGGGCCAGGGCCACCGAGATGGCCGCCTGACCCACTCCTCCGGATCCGGCGTGAATCAGGATCTTTTCACCCTTCTTCATTTGACCTCGCACCACCAAAGCGTAGTAAACGGTGGAGTAGACGCAGGGCACCGTGGAGGCCTCCTCCATGGTCCACTTCTCGGGTATCTGCCACATCATCCGCTTGCTGGCCACACAGGTGGTGGCCAGTGACTTGGCCGGCACCATGGCCATCACGCGACGACCCTGGGTGTCGCGTCCAGCGAACTCCAGACCGAGCACGCAATCCTGCTCTGCAAGATCTCCGGGCAGAGCATCGGCGGCCAGTTTGCCGGAGGTCAACATGACGTCGCGGAAGTTGATGGGCGCATAGTAAACTGTGCAGGTCTCCAGATTCTTATCAATGGTAGCAGCAGTATCCGCCTGGGCTGCCTCGATCCACTTGAGCGAGGCCAGATCTCCCTTGACCAAAGCGTTGACATAGGCGTGCTCCACCTGGAGAGTGGCCTGCTGGGTCTCCAGTTTCAGGTGACGGAAGGTGCCCCAAGCTCCGTTCTTCAGCACATTCGAGATGAGGTCCTTCTCCAGCTGCTGCTGGTAGAGTTTCGAGCTCAGCGAGAACTTCTCGGCCTTGGCATCCTGCACGAAGACCAGGCGCGCCAGCTTGCCGCCATTCTCGTTCTTGATGCAGGTCATCAGACCCACGGCGCCGAACAGCTCCTCTCCCTGGCAGACGACGTACACATACTGCTCCTCGTTGTTGGCAGTGGCAAGAGCGCTCTTCAGATCCTCCACCCAGTCAAAGTTCTGCTCGGTGGCTATGACTACCACAGATTTACGGGTCTTTAGATCCACAGATTTACGGGCGAGTACCAGGACACGGGTGGCTCCCAGGCTCTGTTCCTGGACAGCCACATAGCCAAACTTGGCCAGCAGAGAACGTCCCGTCTTGTTATAAGTCTGTAGCGTCTCCTCCAAGATCAGGAAGCCGTTCTCGCGCAGGCTGGCGATGGAGTTCTCCAGGGTCTTCGTGTCCGGACGCGAAAGCACGTCGATGCCAAAGACAAAGTGACAGTTCTGCTCTACCGGCTCCTTCAGCACATCCTTGGACACCACGCGCACACCGGAATCCCCGAGAGCGGCGGTGATGGTCTCCTCATTGCCGTTCGAGGTGACCACGGCCACATCGCCAGTCAACACAGGTTCACCCTCGATGATCTGCAGCAGGCGATTGGCCACCAGCACATCTGGGTTGCGTCCATTAGCCAGCTCCACGCCCTTTAGCTTCACAGCTCCACTCGAATTCTCAATGATCAGCTGGATGGCCACATCCAAGGCGTGCAGGCGCGCCTTCTCCGAGTTCTCGTGCAGATCGGCGGCGTTGTTGTTGGGCACAAACTGATAGCGCTCGACGGTGGGAGGAGCCTGAGTGCCCGGGCGACGCTGGGCGAGATTGGCCTTCAGGCCGCGCAGCTCTACGCCACCGCTCTTGATCACGTTGATGTCGCTGTACCACTGAACAGGCAGTCCACTTTCCAGCTGCTCCTCCTTCGTAAGGCCACTCAGGAGCTCCAAGTGCTTGGCGGGATTAATCACCGCTCGCTCGATGCGAGTGGGCAGGTACAGCTCCCGGAGGTTCTTGCTCAGGATGCTG